GATTTAGTAGTTTTACATGTAAAACTGGAACATGAGGACGAATCAAATTCGTAAAAGTCAACGAGAAACAAGAACGTTTAATCCGGAATTATTGCAAATATAGTTTCACGATCAAGTCTGTCTCGCTTGTTTTATAACATTTTTTTATTTGGCCTTTTGACTTTTTTTTAGTGTTCTTTCCGTGTAATATTTTCAATTTAAATTCTACAAATTTGCCTCAAGAATAGCACTGGCAATTAATTGAACAAACAAATCAAGTGTTAAGTGTAATATTTTTTTTTTCTTCTTTATACTCCTAATGTTGTATTCCAGCGATAAGACGTAAACCTGTGACAAAATGCCTTGAGTATTCATTTATATTCGAACTGTCGTGGTATACGAGCATTTTGTTTGGACATTCTGCAACATTAGGAATTATGATAAATATTTCAGGTTTAAATATGAATAAAATTAGTTTTTGATCTTCCGATATCCGCGCCCCCCCCCTCCTTTTTTCAAGGCCAGTTTGACCTTTTAACGTCCTGTATGTCCGTTATGGGTTGCCACTGTGGGGGAGCTAGTTGTATGTGTTAAAATGCTGTGACGTTACTTCGTTGTCGATCACTTACCGTTTTTTCTCCAGACTACCTCCTGTTAAAGTAACATTTGTAAGTACTTACAGCCTTATTATACGTATACTCGTACGATGTGCCATTATAAACTAATCAAGTACTATATCTTTTTAATTACTGTGTTGTTCTTTAACAATGCTACTCTTTTGTTTCAAAAGTATCTTTTTTTATTGAAAAAACATTTTCTATATCCTGTTGTGACTTTTTACTCAAAATTGTACTATTTGTAGGCTTTGATGTCCTTTACTCACCGCTAATAAGCTAAAATACTCTGGATGTTTCAAATACATATGACTATATCGTCACGGAAATTCAAACATTTATTGTATTATGTTTGTTCACACATTTATGTATATCTACGAAATTTTAATGTCCGAAAATTTACTAAACATAGAATATAATAGATTTATTAAAGTTTAAAAAGTACGTATGATGCGGTAGTCCATGTACTAATAACATCTTAAGGTATTCATATTTAAGTTATTATATATATATTGTACAAAGTTTGTTGAATTTTGTGCAACGCTACTCAAGGTTTATCTTCTGCGTTAACTAGATAGACTAGAGGGAAGGCAGCTAGTCAACACCACTGACCTAAGCATTTGGGCTTCTCTTGTTAGACCAAATAGTGGGATTTAACAGTCACTCTTATAACGCACCCACAACCCCTAAAGTGCGGAGTGCGATTATTATTATTAGTTTAGCAGAAACGGATCGTAAACCAAGGCACCTCAGCTCCACAGACTAGCTCATTACGTTAACCCCTGGGTTGTGCCCTCTTCCCCACCCTCCCTTTTTCAAATGACCGAATGTTCTAAATACAGTAGTTGACTACGTTCTTATAGCGATATTGAAAATATTTCTAGCGTGTGATTCGTGTTGGTTTTTCATATTGTTTTCATAATGACGAACGTAAATGCTGTATTTCAGTGTGATCAACATTATACTGAGGTTGTACTTTTATTTGTCTGATAACTCCTACTGATAAAAACCGAGTTTCGATACTCGTGGTGGGTTCAGCAAAGATAGCCAATTGTGTAGCTCTGTGCCTAACAATAGACAATAATACTTCTTATTTTGTATGTTCAAAATTATTCCTAATATTTTTGGTTTGAATGTGTACACATCTGCCAATTTTGTAAATATTTAAATAGATATTGTGCAATTTTCTGCTTGTGCTATTTTAAAACAAATTGCCCCCCATGACCTATAAAGCTAAAAAAAAAAAACGGGTTTCTATGA